GATGAAGTGACTATTGGAGAACAAGATATTTTCATGTTGTATCCATTTTAAATGCCATCTGTCTTGGGAGTGGGGTAGCTTTTTCACCGGCTCCAAAAACTTAGGGGAAAGGGTCACCCATCCTCAAAGCAGGAGGCATCTCAACACCCCTCTTCTCATTAGCAAGGATGTGGTGCCTCCTGCATCACTGATCTGTCTCTCCGCTCACGTCCTGCCCACACAGAGTGTCCTCTCTCCATCTCTGCAGCTCAACTCCTGTCTTCACCTCTTGGGACCGTACTTCCTGGGAGCACAGCGCGGGGCACAGCAGTGAGAGGAGACATCTGTTTTCCTGCTGGTTGTAAGGGAAGTAGCTGAGACACTGAATCATTGTCATTTCATAATTTATAGGCACAACTATTGAAATGCAGATTTTAATGCTTAGAATAGTTTAATAGTTTTAACAATCCTGGAGAACGTGGTCACCATCCTCACCTACCGAGCCGTGTGTCCAACGCCCAGCCTGAGAGAAGACGCCCCCTTCTCAGCTCACATTCTGGGCTCTCACATGCTTGGGTTTGGACACTGAGCATTAGGGGTTAAACATCTTACTAAACAGGCCCAAGAAAAGGAGAGGGAGTTGGAAGGCCACAGTAAATCTGAACACTGGAAATAAGTAATGCGCGAGAGCAGGTTTTATTTGCCTGGTGATAAATGCATCCATTCTCTGTTCCCCGTCTGGTCCCTCAGTCCCAGGCCCGGGCCCTGACGAGGGGCAGCGCGGGCAGGAGTGAGGACTTGTTTCACTCACCGGCTCCTCACTCAGCTGAAGGCAGTTTGAGATAGGCCTCGTGTCCTGCCCTGCTTTATGTGTCACTGACAGAGCATTGCACACCCCGTGGGTAACTCTGCACGTTTCCAGAACGAACGCTCGCGCTTAGGGATCCCTGAGCTTGCACAACAGCGTGAGAGCAGCTGGGCAATCTGCTGAGCCGGGGAGGCTTGTGAGCCTGATAACTCTGCTCAAGACCCTAATCTGAGTAAGAGCTAAAAAAAGTTCTTCTTGCCTGGTGAGGAAATCTTTGTAGGTGAATATCTATCCTTTGAAGAATATGATTCTTGTGTTCAACTGACTTAGTCACAGCCGATGTTACTGGATTGACAGCACTGCCCTGG